CGAGCTTAAACCATTCTCGAATAATCTTGGGATCTTCACATAGGGCTCGCCTGTAGTCGTACTTGCGTGAAAATTTGGATTCAAGCTCATTGCGTCTCATGAAACCATTTACCCAGCATTTGCCAACTGTAGGTGGAGTAGTGGATTCATCGCGTTTGGCAAGAAGGACATTTGCCATTTCTCGTACGGTTGCAACTCGGGGGGGCTTTCCTCGCTCATCCATGGATAGTATCCACTGGGTAAGAGTTATTTCTTCAGTAACAGACAGTTTTCGATTCCTTTCCTGCGCATGCTCTCGCGTCGTACGGCCTTTCAATCGATCGTGTAATGTGGAATGGGGAACATCATATAACACAGAAGCTTTTCGCAGACTTGAGACTTGGCCCTTCTTATATGCTTGAAGAGCCAAAAGAATCTTTCCTTCCTGATTGGAAGCTTGTGGGAGTCTTGAGGTAGGCATTTTTGTTGATGGGAGTGGAGGCGCGTAAGCGTGGTGAGAAGTGTCCGACTAGGTCATTTGTCCGACTAGGTTATAGATTACGTTATATTGTCGTCTATTGGGCGCTCCGATAAATCCCGCTGAAAAATTTGGTCATAAAATCTTGTCATTACCGTTACCATACCTGCCTGGTACCTCCCTACCGGAACCAGCAAGGTGCCGGCCCCGGGGCCGCGATGCTAACGGAGAACGGAAAAAGATTTTCTGCCGCGTTTGCAGCCCGTGATTCGTGATTCGTGATTCGTGATTCGTGATTCGCCCAGGTCGTGCCTTCCACATTTGTTCTAGCGGGTTCTGTCACTGGACGGCCATTTTCCTGCCAATCAGATCCGCCAATCGTCACCATCACTTTCGCTGTATGTTGATTGGGCACTCCGTGTAGGACAGAGGATAGTACACGGATGACAACGACAACGAAATAAATTTTAACCCGCTGTCGAGGAACCAAAGAAGTCAAAGGTGAAGGCAAAGGTAAGGGATTTATTTTTCGCCTCAGCGGGCCTCACGAGTCACGCACGCGGGTACACGCGGTGCTCCTTTTTTTTTCAAAATGGAATGCCCTCCCTAGAAGACTCTGATCCTTGACTATACTGATCGCGTAGCAGCTAATTGCCCAGTACTCAAGGTATATATATATCCCTAAGGTGGTATATCGCAGTCCATCAGTACTGTGCTGGATGTACCCAGCTGGATAGCTTTAGTCATACGGTCACAGGACCCCGACATGATCACTCGCTGAACCCACTTTATTTTTATTACTATGAAAAAATAGGTGTGGATTGGGACAATCTACTGACTGCTGCAGCATCTGCAACATGCGAATGAGTATTAGTATGCATTAATGAGGGGTTAAAAAAAAAAGTCTGATGATAAGAGATATTAGGTATAGTAGGTAAGGAATATAACAGTGAATAGAGCGATTTTCAAAAAAAAAAAGGTAGGAAGCCCACCCAAAAGGGAGAGAGAGAGAAACTACCTGATATAGTAGGTAGCAGAGTCCCTCGCATATGTAGACTACATACTCCGGAGTAATATAGACAAGATATTTTTTTTCCCCCCCTTGAAGCCAGTCAAACAAAGCGAAGCCTGTCTGTAAGGCTTACAGTAAGGAGTATTTGTACCTTCAGATCTTTCTTCAAGCCAGTCTACCTACCTAGTGTAGATGACTAGCATAGTGGCAGCTTATTCGAATCAATCCTGCTTCCATTCCTTAATTTTATGTACAGTACATCTTTCTCTCCAATCTTCATATTTAATTAGGAACGCATATTGGTACTAAACAATATTTAATTTAGCGTTGTTGGTTCCTCCTTCTACAAAGCATTCTCCTTGACAGATGGTATTATGGATTCTATCTGTACAGATTGTACTGCTGGGCTGACTGACGCTGATATCAGACTCGTCGTCGAACTTTACAACGGCCAGATCGACGTCACCGCGTTGCCTATTGGCGAAGACAAAAACTATTTTCTCTGTCGGCTTAAGTCCTGTGTACAGTTGGTTAGGTACTAGACAACAGATAAACCGGTTCGACTCAGTCAATAAGCCACGGCGACAACCAAATCTTGAACTGTGTCTCAATGTCCACTTATACGATGATGATGGAAGGATATTGGTTAAGTGTGCCAATTTATCTCAAGTTTCTCGTATGTATGTCCTGTACATACGTTAATGCCGTTCTTAAGACAGGCTTCACCGTACGGGAGACCGAGCCATATATCACCACATTCGCCTTTTACAACATGTGCAGCAAGTTCTTGGTATTTGATTCCCCAGGCGTCCAATTGGTTTTTTTTTTGGCCTGTACGACTACGGATCCACCAGCATCAAACTTCGCAAGGACGGGAGTATGCTTCAGCAAGGCTCATATGTGTTAGACGATCGTATGTATACAGCTAACCGACCAAAATACAGTCCCGTTATGAATTCCCATCGCAAGAGAATCAACCTGGAGACAACGATTACATGCCCTGGATCACAGATAGCAGACAACGTCAATTGTTTGGGGATTCTGGACTTTACTTGGTTCAGAATGGGCTCCTGCTGGATGTGGAAGTCTATGCGATGTTTGACCTAGTCCAGATTGCTGCTATTAATCCAGACGTAAGGTCGAGATTTACCCTTTTTTTTTGCTATCCCCTCTAATCTAGAATGAATGATTAAAAACCAATATATTAAATATGGGATGGCTACAAAGTCATTATTTCCAGAGAAGACTATACAAATTATAGTAGAAGAGTGCTTAGTACTATAGCAAGGAATCCACTAAATAGTAATGACTGGCACTAGTAATGATGCCCTGCGTTGGCACCTCCACATAGCAATACTGGCCAATATGCGAAGTTCTCCTGGGCCGGTCACAGAAGAGGAATATGATCTGTGCGAGGACGACATCGGAGAGATCCTCGAAGGCCCATATTAGCAGGTATCACATTCTTCTTTTGGGAGATCCCGTGTTTTTATTGAAATACCAGACTAAATTAGATTCTAAGTAATATAGATATCCTAGGTACAATGTTGCAGTTTTCATCTTAAACTCTGTCTCTTTTATAATAGACTAAAAGTAGATCAAGACCAGTTTCCAAGAGATTAGAACGTCAGTAAGAAGTAGATGTCTATTTACATAGAGTCAGCTCCATGAACGATTGATCTGTTCTGCATTTACATGCAGTACATATGCCTGTGTAGAATCTTGACTGTTCAATTCACAAACCAGTTCAGGCATTGGAACCATTCTCAAGCATCCATCTCAATAGAAACTGGATCTGGATTCCTTTGGCCAAAGTTTCTCAGATATCTGGTTAAAAGAGGCTTGTGTTGATGTCAGTTTTCTTGATGTCGAGTGCTTTATGAAGCATACTTTAGCTGACTAATGGCTACCCCCACCTTTGGCCGTTCTAAGAAATACCCCGTACGGCAGTCATCGACAGGTACAGAGCTAGGCCAAAAAAATTTATCGAAATGATCTGACAATGGTTAAATCAAAAAGAAACTCATGTAAAAATTTATTTTAACTAATTCTCTATTCAACTATCTTTTAATAATATCCTTACCGTATAACTTTGATGCGAAATCAAATTGCCCTCTATAAAATAGGCGTGTTAGGTGGGCGAATTGCAGTTCAGCGGCGATTTAGATAATCGATACAACTCCGAAGCGACATCAGTGGGGGGCGCTTGCAGCGGAGCTTCCGCTTCCCGTCTAGTGCTGCTCGCAGCGCCATAGTCAGCATGCATAGCGAAGCAGATGAGATGGACCTAGGTTGGTGCTTTCGATAGGCAGTCCAGTCGGCTTGCCAGCCGAAGAGGCGATTTCCGCCGCGGTCTTGGTCGTGGAGCCAGGCCCAGACTTGTCCCGCATTTCGACTAAATCCGACGAGACAACCTTCGAGACCAAGCCCACACCGACGTGACTAATATTTATTGTCCTGCTCCTCTGATAGCTCTCCTCATCTCCATGTGCGGTCAAGAGGACGACAAGCGTCGACGGCCGTTTCGTCCCTTCTCAGAGTCGCACGAAGTCGTCGGCCTGGATCGGATTGCTAGAGAGCAAACTCGAGTGCAGTCTGTTCATCTAGCTTCCCTCGACTTCTTGACTCATGACATCAAACGTTGACAGTCCTGACCTGTTGAAGGGACATGATGGAAAGCTCGACGAGCGCGTGGACAGCACAGCTCCGTCGTCCCTTCAGGCGTCTGCTCCCAGTCAAAATGACACCGAACACAACTTGGCCATGAGCGACGCAATAGCTTCTCCTGTGACTGCACCTAGGGACGAAGCTGACCCTGAGAAGGCCCTCGATGAGCCTGGACGCCGTTCTTCCACCTCCTCTGCTGAAACCCAGCCAGATGGCTCCTCCCTCATGAATCCTGCCAGTCGGGTATTGACCGACCCCTACGGAAATACATACCCTGAAGGCGGCTTGAAGGCCTGGCTGGTTGTTTTCGGCAGCTTCATGGGCCTCTTTGGCTCCCTCGGTCTGGTCAACACGGTCGGGACCTTCCAGGCTTACCTGTCGACCCATCAGCTGCAGGATTACAGTGACGGAAGCGTTGGCTGGATTTTCGGGGTCTATGCGTTCTTGACTTTCTTCTGTGGTGTTCAGGTCGGCCCCATTTTCGATGCCAAAGGGCCTCGGCTTCTGATTCTACCTGGTTCTATTCTCGTCGTGGTGTCCATGGCTATCGTGGGATTCTGCTCCCAGTACTGGCACTTCATGGTAGTTCTGGGAATCGTAAACGGCATTGGTACGTCGCTGATATTCACGCCTGCTGTCGCTGCGGTTGGCCACTTTTTCTACAAACGACGAGGTGTGGCTACAGGAATGGCGGCAACGGGGGGTTCGATTGGCGGTATCGTGTTTCCACTCATGCTGGACAGCCTCTTCCCCAAGATTGGCTTTGCATGGGCTACGCGTGCGGTGGCCCTAGTATGCCTCGTTCTGGTAGGCACTTCATGCATCCTCGTCAGGTCTCGTCTCCCACCGAAACCTGCCTCGAAGGAGAACATGCTGCCCGACTTTCGTATCTTCAGAGATCCGGTCTTTACTCTCACGACCGCCGGCATATTCTTCATCGAATGGGGCCTCTTTGTCCCACTCAGCTACATCTCATCATACGCATTGGCTCACGGAATCTCGCCTTCATTTTCCTACCAACTCCTCGCGATTCTCAACGTCGGTTCTTTCTTCGGCAGGTGGATTCCTGGATATTTCGCGGATTTTGTTGGGCGTTTCAATGGCATCATTCTAACAGTTTTGCTGTGCTTACTGTGCACAGCATGTCTATGGCTGCCTGCTGGCAGCAGCGTTGCACTGCTTGTCATCTACGCGCTGTTGTTTGGGTTTTCCAGTGGCAGCAACATTAGTCTGACGCCCGTGTGCGTGGGCCAGCTCTGCAAGACGGAAAATTATGGCCGGTATTACGCCACAGCATACACCATTGTGAGTTTTGGGTACGTATAGCCGCGCAAGTTCCCAAAGCGGAAATGTACAGAAAACTGATCGTGTTAGAACACTGACCGGTATTCCAATCGCCGGTGAGATACTGTCCAGGTGCAATGGTGAATATTGGGGTCTTATTGCCTTTACAGCTTGCAACTATTTCGCGGGGCTGCTGAGTTTCACCGCGGCGAAACTGCTGAAAGTGGGTTGGAAACGGCCTTGGGTAGTCTACTGACGACAATTCAATGTTTGCTTGAAAAATCAACTACGATGCTGTATGATGTAACTATTCACCATCAAAATGTCGCCCTGGAAGGCTTCTTGCGACGTGCTGCAACGGTGTTGGACATCACTCGCAGTAATTTATCTCGTACAACATGATGAAGGTGCGACAACAAATTCACCTGTGATTTCAAGTATATGAGGAGACAAAGTGGAGAGAACCGCGACCAAAGTCACCTCTCGCGTGGTTCTCGACAATGCCGATGGAGAGACCGTGTGGTCTAGGCTTGCAAAGGGCGACAACGATGTCTGTTAAAGAAGAAGGCATTATGACTTTTCCACTTGTTCAAGAGGGGCTAGAAACCCCTCCAGGAGACAAGCTTGGAAACAACAGAGGTCTCGGTCGATGTTTTCGCAATATTTCATCCCTCACCTGCTCCATGATATCATATGGATATCATGCGACGGGGTGTCTACAGAGGCGAATGTATGGGTCCCCCTGTCGAAAATGAGGCGAAGAACTCAAAAAGAAGGGGTTCTCAGCCCACCGCTGGTGGAGGTTACCGGTGAGAAGGTTGCTCTCCTGATCTAGACGCAGAGCTGTTTGTGCGTTCCAGGGAATCTAATTGGTCTGGGTGTCTCTTTTTGCCGGTTCCTGTCACCTAAGTGTGATTTGAAGACAACCCTTCCAGCTTGCTACTGCAATCATGGTGAAGGATTTGGGCATTGTCCAGACTTCGCATCTACAGCGATATGAGTTAACTGTTTTAGAGGACAGTCAGTTCGTTTTTCATCTTCGACGTCTCAATTTCGGCCAAATCTTTGTCATCAGCGTTGGCGGGTGTATGACTTGATAATGCCGTCACCGGAATTGTTGGGCGATTCTGGCCGTGGTTTCTCACGTTGCCTCTGAGATGGGCCACGGTATCACCTAGTCGGTGTCTATTCCAATAGGGGTGCCATGGACATAGTGCGAGGCTGGAATAGTCGATTGGATCTGCTCATGTCTATGAGCAATAGGGAGCTCATCTCTGCGAGACAGCACGCATATATCAATCCGGAAATGTCCTACTTCTCCAATCGCTCTTCAACACACTCTGTCTCTACTGATTCTGTCTTCATCTCCTGCCTCGCTGTTTTCGACTGGATCGATCCGTCAGGATGAAGACTGTCGCCTTGCTCGTGGCGCTTGCTGCGTCTTCGATCGCCTATCCACAAGGACCTAATCGGCCGCCTACCACCACCTCCGTCAGGCCGAGCCCTACTCCCACGACTCGTCCGACTTGTCCCATTCAGCCAACTGGACCTCCTCGTCCGCCTGCGACGGTCACTGTTACTGTCACAAGCTGCCCGACGACCCGTCCTCCACCACCACCTCCTCCGCCTACCCGTCCGGCAGCGGCGCCCGTGAACAACCCTGGTAACCCTAGTAGTCGTCCTCCGCCTCCAGGAAACCCTGGTCTTCCAAGTTCAAGCCCTATCCGACCTCCACCACCGCCT